ATATTTTTACATAAAAGTATACTATCTTAATATCATAAATTTATTGCAGTATAAAAATTAGATTGAATTTCGAACTAATTAAACGCCAAATATTTATGCTCATGAGTCACGACTACATGCTCACTTTTTCGGAGTATATACCGATGAGTTACACGGTTCTGCTAACTTCCACAGTTACAGTCTTACATACATGTACAGGGTATGGACGTATGGTTTCGTACTCATGCTCACCGACCGACGAACATCAGGGTGCAAGCACGAGCATGAGCAGACAGGTAAAGTACCAGTATGCATACTGCAGTCTGCACCATTCTCAGACAGCATCATCAAAACACACGTGGAGTATATACTCCCTCCGTCACTAAATATTTGACGCTGTTGACTTTTTTAACATGTTTGACCGTTTGTTTTATTTAATAATTTTTGTAAAATATGTAAAACTATATGTATGCATTAAAATATATTTAACAATAAATCAAATGATAGAAAAAGAATTAATAATTACTTATTTTTTTAATAGAACGAACGGTCAAACATATTTAAAAAAATCAACGGCGTCAAATAGTTAGAGACGGAGAGAGTATACGACTAAAATAATCCATCCATTATTGGGCACAACACATGCGCACAAGCAGGGCCGTGTGTTCAGAGACGTCTTCAGTCGTCCACGTCATGAATTCATGACACGTTGCTGTCACATTTAAACGTGCATTTTGGCTACTGTGCGTAGCACCATGATTCGATCGATCGTGAGGTTTGATTCGAGCCACGGCGCGCCGGCGCTTGTAACTAGTTTGGCGGCAAACTGGTGTCATAACATATTTAAAAAATTCAACGGCGTTAAATAGTTAGAGACGGAGAGAGTATACGACTAAAATAATCTATCCATTATTGGGCACAACACATGCGCACAAGCAGGGCCGTGTGTTCAGAGACGTCTTCAGTCGTCCACGTCATGAATTCATGACACGTTGCTGTCGCATTTAAACGTGCATTTTGGCTACTGTGCGTAGCACCATGATTCGATCGATCGTGAGGTTTGATTCGAGCCACGGCGCGCCGGCGCTTGTAACTAGTTTGGCGGCAAACTGGTGTTATATATCGACCCAACGCTAGCTCGGGCGGTGGTTGTGTGTGCTAAACTCTACTACATTTATGGTATAGGTTGTATTTGTTTTGTTTCTTAATTTTTTCCCGAAAGAGTTGTATGTAGTTTTATTAAGGAAAAAAAAGTCTATATACCCCTATAACAGGCTAGCTTTTAAAACCGAATATGCAACCCTTAGATCTTTACAATACCAACAACTCTGAACTCTCCTTAACACACCCAAACCTTAATTAAAATAGAAATCAGTAGAAAAATTTTGACCTCCACGTCCATTAAAGATTAACGGCATTCGACATACTAGCAAACTCGATCACACGGAGCTTCAAAGCTCCTGCCGCTGCCGAGCACCATAGTGCACTTTCATTTGTCACCGCTTGAAATTATTGTATACGGCAGGATTAAGCAAGGATGACGTTTGATTCATGCATGCCATAATTTTTGAGCATGGCATTTTTTTTTCAAAAAAGGCTAACAGACCACCTCGTTATATTTAGATATAGACAGTTTTTTGCTATCAAATTGCTGAAGATGAAACATATATACGCTTTGCTAACATTCTACGCCAGAGTGTGGATGCCATCGGAATATATAAGACCTTAATGCAACGTGACTATCATATCGACAACACCTAATCGACTGTAGATGAAGATTCGAGAGTACCACAGTCCAGTGAACGTGTCAGGAACAGTTGATTGAACCAAATTGGGCTATTTTTTTTTAAGTCGATTGTAAGCTAGCAGCACAAAAATGGGATGATTATTTAAATTGATTGGCAATTAAGGGATTATTGAAAGATGCTTATCAGCAGTGACAGACTGACAGTTGAACCAAAATCCAGCGCGCGACGACTCTACAGGTTTACTGTAAATCTGGAGAGTAATTTATCATCTTTTTTTTAAAAAAATATCATAAGATACTATATTTGTAAAACTTGTACCTTTAAGTACTAGTAAATCAGGTATCAAAATTTTTACTGTAGAATTTATGTACCTTAAGGTAGTAAATTTTTCTCAGGTCTGAAACTAGTTCATATCGAATTGGCCTTCCCAAGGCTTGCATGCACCGCAACAGGTTGGCAAATAAAAGGTACGTATATATAATTAAAATAAAAAAAGAAGGAATATACATATAATTAAAATTCAAAAAAGAAGGTATATATAATTAGTCCCAACTAGTTATTTTTATATGAACATCTTGCTCAATCTGATGATCCTTGATTGCAGATATTTATACAATCCCATCAAGGATTATTCCTAGCTAGAATATGAAGTTATTAATAATAAAGAGGTACCGAAATCCTAGCTAATAAATCTCCTCAAAAATTAAATAGTACTCCTGTATAGTTGGGTCGTTGGCCCCTAAGCACACAAGTATTCTCTCTCTAGTGCATTCTCATGTTCTTTACGTACTTCTTTTAGAAAGTGTCACTGTTGTCTGTTGGCTTACTATTTACCAGTGACACTTTTTCAAATACAATCTTTTGGCAAGAAATGCCATGTTTCGGAAAAAAAAACATGATATTGATTTCAATCCGTTTGAGAGAGCATGTGGAGACAAACAATTTAACTCGGACAATCATGCTGATTCATGCATGTGGTGGCCTCCCTCGTTTTGGGGCGCACGCAGCTAGCTAGGTGGCGGTCTCTAGCTTGCTGAACATTCTTAACTGCGAGAAGTCGATAATGGCTTTGACATCTTGGTATGTTGATAAAAATAGCTGTGAAAATGGCTAGCTAGCTAACATAAATAGTATGAAAGAAGCTAATTAACTTTGGTTTGATGGCTAATTTTGTCAAAACGAAAGGTGTGGCTCGCCACGGGATCGGACAATAATTGTCTTGATCAGAAAATTGATGGCTTTGTGAATAATTAATTGTACTGTTGCTGGTTCAAACGGAAAATCACGCGTACTACTATATATGCACGTATATACAAACAATAGTTTGGAAAAACGATATTGGCAAAAGTACAATTTATTTGATGGATGGATTATTGGTTACCGTTTGCATGGTTTAGACTGGTTAATCAAAATTCAAATTTATAAATACAAATAGATTTTTAACTTTAATTTACTGTTTCACTCGATCGGTTCCCCATTTTGGACTGGACCGTCCTATATATATTTCGGAAACCTAATTTAATTCGCTGCACAGAGATCTTGACTCATGGACCTAATTAAGAAATTTAGTAATCATAAAGTGCATAATCAATCGCTTTTTACATCCGAAAAACAGTTGAAAAGAAGCGGTCAATTGCACTCCGCTGTTCTGACACAATAGAGTACAATCCAATCTCAAATTTCTAACTCATTATAATGAATAAACATTAAGATTTGATATGTGAAAAACATTATTAGATTTTTCATTCGATCAATTCAATGGTTCAATTATATTTTAAACATTTTTATAATATGATTTGAAATTAATGACAATGATTATCAACACATTATATACAATTATTTGTATTGAGGTTAATTATTAAACGATCCGTCGTTTATGCAAGGTAGCTTTATTTCACTGATAGGTTTGTGTTGCATCCTGTACGTGATGGCAAAATAAAGGATGTCGATCGATCGGATTTCTTTGCAGTTGTGCGGCTGTTGTGGAATTAAGTCTATCGCTATATAATTGGTCATGTTGCTGCAATCAAGTAGTCAAATCCCTAGCTAACAGACACGTGCTCTCGATATTATAAAATGGTACTCCCTCCGTTTCAATTTTTTAAGATGTTTTGACTTTGGTAAAATTTAAACTGCTTTTAAGTTTAACTAAGTTTGAAGAAAAAAATAATTACATTTTCAAACCAAGAAAAATTTATTATAAAAATATATTTAATTATTAATTTAATAAAACTAATTTTAGTATTATAAATATTACTATATATGTCTATAAGCTTAGTCAAATTTGGTAGTTTAACTTTAACCAAAGTTAAAACATCTTATAACCTAAAATTAAAATGGAGAAAGTACTTGGTTTCTCTGTTCATGCATATATAGACTTCGTTCTGGGTATATATGCTCAGTCAGTCAGTCTAATACTCAAATCTGTTAAAAAAAACTCAATCCAAATTAAATCTTAACGTCCATTCCATCCATCACAGAATATAAGAACTTTATCAATCGTTTTAAAATATAAGAACATTTTTTAAAGCTAGCTATCACTTTAGCTACTTTCTCATTTCAATCAATCATAACTTTTGATCTATTATTTAATTTCTTTATCTACTCTTTCATATCAACCAATTATAACCATATTTTACTTGATTTTTTAATGGACTTTCTTATCTTCACCAATTACAATCATCTTTCATTTAAATCCTCATCAACCTTAATTAAAAACATCAAAATTAAGATAGCTGTATTTTAGGAAGGATGTCATTTATATTTTGGAAAAAAAGGGGTCTACGCAGGATCGGTCGAGACGCATTCATTACATCGAAAATGATCCCTGCTGGCTCTATGCATGTACTCTGTCAAATTAGTCCATATACATCCGCAGTTCTTTTACTGGAGTGAGGTCTTCCATCTATCCCTAAATATTATCTTTAATTTTTGATTAAATTTTTTTAATCAAGAGAACTTTAGCTTAAATTTTGTCTCCTAGAAACTGTCTTTTTTAAGTAGGGTTCATTATACCTCTTTAATAGTACTTCAACGTTTTTTTTATTCTCGTTTTAGCTTTGGAACCAATAGTATAGCAGCTCCATTTCTCTCCTCATTTTTTCTCCGTATATATGATCGAAAGATATGGTAGTTTCTTTGTCTTTTGCTTAATTTACCTTTGATTAGCTCGGTAAAATAATAGACTTTTAGGTATGGAGAAAGTACGAGTACGTTTCTCCATCAGCCATAAATACCCTTCTCGATCTGCCGCTCCCTGCTAGATCTCTCCTCCACATCCGGACTCTCTCTATCAAATTTACGTAAGCGCAGTGAGAAAAATAATTAGCTGGGCCACCAGCATACTGTTGGCGTACAGCTGCAAATACCTGTCGAGCTAATCTTGGTTAAAATGTTGGTTTAGTGCTGTTTCACAGGTGGTATACCCTGCTTTTGTTAATAGTACCTCGCGACTCTGCTGTATATTTCTGTCAGTGTCAAATACAAATCTACTTCAATTCGTCGGCACAGATTCTGTTGCTTAATTGCTGGTGAGGAGGAGCACTCACTATATAGCTCAATCCATCTTCCTCTGCAAAACGTACGCACGACACTACGACACTCTGGTTGCGATCGATTATCACTCCCTGATCGCGAGTTCTTGGTCTGCGAGCGTCTGCAATTAAGGTACGCTATACCCTAACTCCCTTTATTTTCCATATCTGTATAACTAAGTTTCTCTTTGTTTTTCTTAGGGAAGAGTTCCTCTTTGTTTTGACGAGGATCGAGGATTGTTTGGACGAACCAGCAGCAGCGTACGTGCCAATTTCATTGATAGTCGCTGTATCTGATTTACAGGTTATTGCTTTATTTCTTCCTATATTTTCAGTTTTTAGTTTGTTACTATTAGTTTTTGGTTTTTTTATTAAGAAACCTAACCAGCTTCATTGGAAGTAATTAAAGTTATGTAACTTATGTTCGATCTTTAATATAAGCGCATGCATGCACTAGCTAGCTTAACGCACATAGAGGCATACCTATTATTAATTGGAAGTAATTAAAGTTATGTTCGACCTTTAATATAAGCGCATGCATGCACTAGCTAGCTAGCCTTACACACATAGAGGCAGTCCTATCATAGAATGGTTACATATAAAAATTTGTTCATATATGCCTTATTCTACATATGCTGTTCATTTTCTTGCGTACTAACCTCAGTTTACTACCGTATGCATATATATACAAGCAGGAAAAATACATACAACAGTGTGTGGTAAAGTATACTACTATTACTGGAGTACTAATTAATGGAAGAGACCCCTCTGCCATCCGGGAAGAACTTCAGGAGCCAGCTTGCTGCTGCAGCGAGGAGCATCAATTGGACGTATGCCATATTTTGGTCCATTTCAACCAGCCGCCCAGGGTAATAGACCATATATATATATCATGCATGACACGCCTTAATTTCCACTACCTATAAATTCAAGAAATCTTTACATCTCTACATAATCCATGTTACCATGTATAAATATCTTGAAATTTTACAAAAGATGGTATAGACGATTATTCTGTAAATGCTGTAACCTTTTTTCGAAAAAAGTTTTGTAATTATTTGATTGATACATGAGAAATGACAAACAAACGGTTGTGCGCGCATGCATGTACAGTAGTGCGCGCGCGCGCGCGCGCACACACACACACTTAATTGGGCTGTAAAAAATCCAGTTCGTACATATAATTTCGTCACTTTGTTTTGTAGAGTTCTGACTTGGAAGGACGGCTTCTACAACGGCGAGATAAAGACGAGGAAGATCACGAACTCCATGAACCTCATGGCCGACGAGCTGGTCCTGCAGAGAAGCGAGCAGCTGAGGGAGCTCTACGACTCTCTCCTCTCCGGCGAGTGCGGCCACCGAGCGAGGAGGCCCGTCGCTGCACTGTTGCCGGAAGATCTCGGGGACACGGAATGGTACTACGTCGTCTGCATGACCTACGCCTTCGGCCCCCGCCAAGGGTGCGTATGGTAACTTCACTCCACAGAGCACACTATTTCATTTGCATATGCTACCAATTATAATCCACTATGAAGAGACTGCACCTATTTTATTTTATTGCATAAAACATGATAGTAGAAAATTATAATCCCTAAAGGCACTGAAGAGAAATTATACTTCTCACGCATTGGCTACACCCTTCGTAAAAAAAAAAAACTTAACCTAGTTGGGGGATGTCCTATCCTGGTTTTCCTTTCATGGAGGAATAACTAGAAAACAAACGTGCTGGTTGGCGCACCAATTAATATAGCCTGTGGTGGTATTGTTGGTCCTGTTCGAGATACATAAATTGATCATTTTTTTTCTTAAGAGATTTGAAGACTTTACACTATAGAAACAAAAACAAAGAGGCTAATAAAAAAAAGAAAATATTGGAATGAAATTTACCACCAGAACATATGGTAATAGTACCCATTGGAAATCATTTAGTTAGACAGATTCCACAAAGTTAAGTTAGAATAAGTGGTGTAAGATAAGTCAATTGATCACATGGATAGACCAACAGTATGTGAAATTCATATACTTAAGAGCTAGATTAAATGTATGGGGTTATCTACAAGATTAGTTTTATTTTTATTGATCAATTCTAAAAGATATATGAAATGTAATATTTGTGATATTCCAATTTGAAAAAAGAACAGTATGGAAAAAAGGTATAATTCTTACCAATATGCAAACGTATATCCTCTATAAGCAAGTTTTAAGGGGACCAGCATATGTGGGGGTACATTCTTTTGATCCCATCTAATCGGAATGTTCTGGATGTTGTGATGTTAAGGTACTACTTTTTTTTTAAAAAAAAGAACTATTAAGGTACTATTTGCTTATAGAATTATCCCTAAACACTTCTGTAGTTTTCTATTTTTCTTGATCTTCTGTAATTTTTTCCTTAAGACGAAATCCAAGATTTATTTGATAAGCCATGGGGGCCACATGGCCTAATCAAAAGCCGGCATAACCGTCGGCTTTAGATTAGTAGATTGTACTTAGTAGTATATTTTCTAATATCACAAAATTTTTGTATGTAGTTATATTAGAAAAGGAAGCAAGTACTATATTATTGAGACCATATAACGCGATCAAGAATTCAAGACTCATGTCTCCAGTTTTTTTTTTTAAAAAAAAGACGTGACCCACGACCACAATGTTCATTAAGAGGTTTGAAATTAAAAATGAGATTGGGGGAGAGATAAATTCCCCGATATTTTCTTTTTTACTAGATGAAAACTCAAATGGAAGATGAATTGAGGGTGTGTTTAGTTCACGCTAAAATTGAAAGTTTGGTTGAAATTGGAACGATGTGATAAAAAATTAGAAGTTTATTTGTGTAGGAAAGTTTTGATGTGATAAAAAAATTGAAAGTTTTTTTAAAAAAGTTTGGAAACTAAACTCTGCCTGAGGCTGCTAGCTGGTCAACCTGCAGGCTGCAGCCTGCTGCCAGTCTCTTACAGTATCTTGATATGATTGTGCTAGTATACTGTAACGAACTGTTGTTCTCTCGCTATTGATGAACCGTGTCAGGTTGCCAGGCAAAAGCTTCGCAAGCAATGAATTTGTTTGGCTGACAAACGCTCAGTCTGCAGATAGAAAACTATTCCATCGCGCGCTTATAGCAAAGGTACTGAGTTACTACTACATGAGTAGTACCATTTAGTACCTATTAATTCTTGCGCTCTGAATGGCAATATCTATGAATTAAGAATTTGTATTATATTCTTCTCCCTTTTCATATGTATATAATCTCCCGTTCACGCGATATTGCCACATCGTCTCTCGATTACTCTTTTTTTTTTGTTTTTAATTATGTATGACGACGATGGTGCTGCATGCTGATCTACCTACTTCACAGAGTGCATCTATTAAGGTACAATTTCATGCGTCATACTATGAAATACTGCATGCGTATAGCTACTCTCTCCATAGCAAAATAACGTCATTTTAAAATATATGTAGCCAATATAAGTTTACTACTCCCTCCGTCACATAATATAAGGGATTTTAAGTTTTTGCTTACATTCTTTAACCACTCGTCTTATTCAAAAAATTTATGCAAATATAAAAAAAGAAAAAATGTGTTTAAAGTACTTTGAATAATAAAGTAAGTAAAAAAATCTATTTTTTTTTTGAATAAGACGAGTGGTCAAATAGTGCAAACAAAAACTCAAAATCTTATATTATGGGACGGAGTGAGTAGCTGACTATAGCGCTGTAGCTGATGTATTGAAGTGTACTTTCACAGTTTCTTATTGCAGCTGTAACTTGTTTTACAGACAATCGTCTGCGTGCCATTTATCATGCATGGTGTCCTTGAGCTCGGGACCACTGATCCGGTAAGTTACAATTACTCCGCCTAAACATACAAGACCTAAAAATGCATTGATGCATGTACAGCATGATCGGCTGCTGATGAACAGCAGTACAGCACGCATGCATTCTCCTTGCTATTCTCTCACAGCAACTCGATCGATCGTGCTCCCCTGCCTAGCCGGCCATGATCAAATTTTCGACGGATATTGTTTCGAAATATTCGAATTAACAATCATTAGCAAATGTGAATTTGCTAGATTTCGGAGGACCCGGCTCTCGTCGACCGTATCGCGGCGTCGTTCTGGGATACGCCGCCCCGCGCGGCGTTCTCGTCGGAGGCGGGAGACGCCGACATCGTCGTCTTCGAAGACCTCGACCATGGCAACGCCGCCGTCGAAGCGACGACGACGACGGTCCCGGGGGAGCCACACGCGGTAGCCGGCGGCGAGGTCGCCGAGTGCGAGCCCAACTCCGACAACGACCTCGAGCAGATCACCATGGACGACATCGGCGAGCTCTACAGCCTCTGCGAGGAGCTGGACGTCGTGCGCCCTCTCGACGACGACAGTAGCAGCTGGGCGGTCGCGGATCCCTGGTCGTCCTTTCAGCTAGTTCCGACGTCTTCTCCGGCGCCGGATCAGGCGCCGGCGGCGGAAGCTACTGACGTCGACGACGTCGTCGTCGCCGCTTTAGACAGTAGCTCCATTGATGGATCTTGCAGGCCGTCGCCGTCGAGTTTTGTGGCGTGGAAGAGGACGGCGGACTCGGACGAGGTGCAGGCCGTGCCGCTCATCAGCGGAGAGCCGCCACAGAAGTTGCTGAAGAAAGCTGTCGCCGGAGCCGGTGCCTGGATGAACAATGGTGACAGCAGCGCGGCGGCGATGACGACTCAAGGAAGCAGCATCAAGAACCATGTCATGTCAGAGAGAAGGCGCCGGGAGAAGCTCAACGAGATGTTCCTGATTCTCAAATCAGTTGTCCCGTCCATTCACAGGGTAATACTAATTACTACTTCATCCGTTTCACAATGTAAGTCATTCTAGTATTTTACATATTCATATTGACGGTAATGAATCTACATTCAAATTGATGTTAATAAATCTAGATTCATTACCATCAATATGAATATGGGAAATGCTAGAATGACTTACATTATGAAACGGAGGGAGTGTAATTTTTTTAGAACCAAATTTGTCAAGGTAATTGGAGTAGTACTAGCTATTTAGTGCTTCCAAAATGGAATTTCAAGATGATTTGAATTCACGAGATGTCGCGTGCTGCAGGTGGACAAAGCATCCATTCTCGCAGAAACGATAGCCTACCTCAAAGAGCTGGAGAAAAGAGTGGAAGAGCTGGAATCCAGCAGCCAACCATCGCCATGTCCATTGGAAACAAGAAGCAGGCGAAAGTGCCGTGAGATCACTGGGAAGAAGGTTTCTGCAGGAGCGAAGAGAAAGGCGCCGGCGCCGGAGGTGGCCAGCGACGACGACACCGACGGGGAGCGGCGCCATTGTGTGAGCAACGTGAACGTCACCATCATGGACAACAAGGAGGTTCTCCTCGAGCTGCAATGCCAGTGGAAGGAATTGCTGATGACGAGAGTGTTCGACGCGATCAAGGGAGTCTCCCTGGATGTCCTCTCGGTGCAGGCATCAACATCGGATGGTCTCCTTGGACTGAAGATACAAGCCAAGGTCGTCATCTCAGCGGCTAAGTAGAGCTCGCAGCAGAAATGCAGCATCGTCTATCTATCTATCAATCTCTGTATCTATACGTCTGTTTGGAGTTCTGATATTGGCCATATTATTGTTGCATGGATGCAGTTTGCCTCATCTGCTGCCGTCGAACCTGGATGATTACAGAAGCTCTCCGGAAAGCTATAGCAAGCTAGCTAGCTAGAAGGTTGAGATCAGTATCGTCTTGGTCATTTGCTCTCATCTTGTTTAGGAGGTACCGGGAAATAAATCTTGTCGCTCTGATCAGTGCCTCCTTACTAGTCTCGTGATCTGTTGTAAGTAATAGTTAGACATGCATATATATCATACAACAACGTTTGATCTTGCATGGTAGCATATATATGTACACCACATTTCTTATATCTTTACTCCTTTAAAATTCAGTGAGGATGGTAAGTGATGAATCTGCCACCCCATCACCAACTCCCTAAAATTCTGACATGTGAAACGTCGACCACTGTCTATCTTCTCTCTAAACAAAACATACAGTAAAAAAAAAATAGAAGTCACAGATAGACTCTGTAGCTCTCAACCATAATCATCCTTACATGCTACTCCTCTAATAAATGGAGACTTTATGTGTAGTGGTGAAAACTTGCAACCAAAAATCTCTCTAGTTAATTCAGAAATTAATAATGCAAATTTGATTTCCTCTTTGCAATTTGTTTTTTTAATTCCGTAACAAATGTCTATTATCGCTCTATACTTGCATGCAATAGGAACTCTAGAGTATATATTGACACCACTATCACATAATTAACGAGGAGCGGAGGGCGAAATATGTAATCTAATCTGCATGCATATGATATGATGAGCACGCAATTTAGCTGAAATACTCTTGATTTTTCAGACCTACTACTGGTTAACCGGCCGGCCCATATCGGTTCTCAGGCCCATGGCCTCTTTTATCCCAACGCGAGCGCCTGAATTTGTTAGCCCACAAGCTCCCACATCTGTTGGTTCGTGCAACGATGAACCGACTGCCGAGACGGCGGTCGGCGGCGCTCCCCCCTTCTCCCTGCAGCGATCTGTCGTCTGCGGCGGCCGGAGCTAGGATCCCTCTCCGGTGCGTCTTTCGCTCCTCCTCTCCCTATCGCTTCTTTCTCTCTCTTGATGCGTGCTACTGAGATCGATCTCGCGAGCCGGCCGGGGTTGGATCTAATATATTGGTCGTCGTCATTAACAACCGAAGGACGACGACGCGGGCATCGGAGAGGCATGCATGCGGGTTGCCCTGCGAGGATATGTTGCTACCTCATCAGGATCGCGATCGAGGAGTGAGAGCGGCTGGCCGCGGGGATGGGCGGATTCTGCCGTTGATCAGGTTCGATAGTGGTGGGACGTGTGTTTTGCGTCTGATTTTCCTTTACCTTCCCATTCAAGCGCTTCCTTTACAAGTTAAAGTTTCTGTAGTTTGAGGACAAAAAATGAGCAACGTTAATTGTTGTAGTCATCGTATCCGGTTAATCTTACATGCCGAAATTTGGATACTAAGATTTTCGTTAACTTTGGATGATGAAGATGTTTATACCTAAATTTGGCACCTATGTACGAAATAGGGAAAAACTGCCAAAGTTTAGAAAGTGCCGGGTTTCCTTCACAGGGCCGGTCAGACCGTAGGTATGTGGGCAGTCTGATCGTGGTCTGAACTTCGGTATGATATGTGGCCCGTCAGACCGTAAGGGTCTGAACCCCGAGTCTATTTTCGTCGGGTCTCGGGTTTCCTTACTTGGAAAGGCATGTTTCAGGTTTTCTTTGGTTTCTATCTCGAGTTAGACGTGGAGGAGGGACTGTAGAGGGCAAGACCAATCCCTATTTAAGGGACAAGGCCGGTTCAATTGTAATCCCCAGAACACACAATATACTTGAATCACCTTTTCTTTTATCTTTACTTTTCAGTCATGTTTTCTACTTTACCCTAGTTTTAGTTTATCTTTATCGATTTGCGCCATAAATTGTCTGCCGCCGCTGCGAGAGTGCGACACCTCTTTGTAGGTTTGTCATGAAAACTTTCCGTTTTGCCCACAAGATGGGTAGTTATCCTCATATCGATCTAAATCAATCTAGAGGCTGATTTTGATCTCTAAATCGGCTCCGCTAGCCGGTTTAGCTGTTTTTCTACAAAACCTATTTTGATTTGGCCTTTTGGCTATATCGAGGTGGTTGGCGACTCCATATCACCGTAAGACTTTAGGTGTTGCGATCGTGCTTGTCGACTTATTACAAAAAGTTGCCAACAGAAGATTTTCTAATAGGATTGTCGTCTGAATAAGTTATATCCCCTCTTTGGGTGGCAGAGTGGTTATTTGCTTTAAGCCAATAATTATGTATTTGTTAAAGTGAAGGCCAGATTAATTTCATCAATTGCTTAAGAAATATACACGTAATCATCTTTAATTAGTAGACATTTATAACTATCTTTGGTTTATAAAATTCTGAACCATATATAAGTATATGGATCTTGTGTGCTCAATGATAAAGCTGAATGATTAGCTGTTAAAATGACTTGTCTCAGTTTTTTTCGGCTTATTCTGAAATTAAGATCACGCGGGCGCTGTGTGAATATCTTTTATACTCTAGCTGATATCATGTGCTAGCAGTATACAGTGTACACTCAGGGATAATGCTACCTCATATATGCTACCGGAGGAAAATGATTACCATAGTACGCGTTATTGGTGCATTGAATATTTACACAGCTAAATAACTGGAGATGATTATAACATAGGCTGTGTTTAGATCCAAACTTTGGATCCAAACTTCAGTCCTTTTTCATCACATCAACCTGTCATACACACACAACTTTTCAGTCACATCATCTCCAATTTCAACCAAAATCCAAACTTTGCGCTGAACTAAAGACAACCATACTCCCTCTGTTTCGCAATGTAAGACTTTTTAATATTATCCACATATATTCATATAGATGTTAATCAATCTAGACACTATGTCAGTATAGCGACACACTGCTGGAAAAACGATCTTTAGTCGGTTGGCCAAATTCCACAATAATCCCGGTTCAACTAAAAATGGGGACTAAAAACCATTTTTAGTCCCAGTTTAAAAGTGCAGCGGGACTATAAAATGATCTTTAGTCTCGGTTCTATTTGTGTCAGAGGATGTCAGGCCGCCGGGGATCTATAGTCCCGAATAGTAACACTAACGGGGACTAAAAATCCATCTTTAGCCCCGGTTGGTGTTACCAACTGAGAGTAAATATCTCCCTCCCACGTCCCCGATCAGTTAAGTCCCACAGCGAGACTTCCTCCTCCTCTCGATCTAGATAAGACTTCCTCCTCTCTCCTCTGGATAATCTCGATCTGGATGGATCCCCTAGCTTCCTCCTCTCCCGGCCCTCCCCTCTCCTCCTCCCCTTCCTCCTCCCTCGGGCCCTCCCCTTTCCTCTCCTCCTCCTCCCCTCCCCTCCCCTCCCCTCCTATCCGGCGGGCGGCGGCAGCGGCGGGCAGGTAGGCGGGGCCGCGCCCGGCGGCGGCCCGCGGGACGTTTTTCCTTTTTTTTTTCTTTTTTCCTTGTTAATTTGTGAATGATTGTTTGTTGAGAAGATCTGTGACGATTGTTTGTTGAGAAGGTCTGTGATTTAATTTGTGAATGATTGTTTGTTGAGAATAATTTGTTCATTCAATCTGTGATTTGAGGTTGAGAATGTTGTTGTGATTTGAGAATGAATATGTTGTTGTGAATGATTTGATTTGAGAATGTTGTTCTGGATGATTTAGGATGTTGAGAGATGATATTTTTGTAATGATTTGGAGATATCGGGCACGAGATATGTGAAATAGAAAAAAAAAGAAAAAAAAAACTTACTCCGTCCGGGACTAAAGATTCATCTTTAGTCCCGGTTATTTTAAGAGATAATTTAAGAAATGCCATTGACAAGCGTCTAAGTCCAAATGCAATCGATAAGTGTGAGTTCCAAAAAATGCCATCGTATAAACGACTTTGTCCTAAAAATGCCATCGCCGTTAGAGTTCCGTCCATCGCTGTTTGTACGATGGCATTTCTTGGAACTCACACTTGTCGATAGTATTTCTGGAATTTGGACACTTGTCAACGGCATTTCTTGGATTATCTCTTATTTTAACCGGGACTAAAGATGCCCATCTTTAGTCTTGGATTTGTAGCCCCGGTCATACCCCCGGACTACAGGGGGTTCCCAACCGGGACTACAAAGCCTTTCTCCTCTAATGATACGTAGGATACTACGGTACTAACGAGCAAAACGATACGTGCCAGTTCTACTATCGTTTTCCTGTGGTATCGCGCTAGTTCTAGATACGGAGCGTAGGATCGTTAGAATCGTGCTAGGATAGAGATACTAATTGTTTCAAACTAGTATATATTTGAATTCAAAAATCTGAATGCGCGCACTTGTGTTCATGTACCTTCAAAATCAATGTTAAATAAAACTATTAGTACTAGTGGATGGTTTTCTCTCGATAAATCTCTATTTTTTATGCTATATATCATTACTACTTTATTTTCATAGAATGGCTATATATAATTAATATAAATATTAAATTAATTTTAAAAATGAAAATCTCATAGTACCCCAATAATACGATACGATACTATGATCCGATACTACTTTAAAAATTTAAAAACAATAGTATCTAAAATCTTGATACTAACAATTTTGTTCTTAGCTCATGCTCAATGAATTCTAGATATTTCAACACTATATTAATCTGGAAGGACTAATAAGTACATATCTACTTTTTCTTCCCAAATACTAAGCATTTGAAAATGAATTAATTAGGCAATATAAGTGATTTTGGTTGGTTAGGTAGCTTTCTTCAAGATACCTTTATTATGTCTATTCGTCTTTCATCCTGTCCTTCAATGTGGAAATGTCCAGATTCTAGACACGCAAAATCAATTGGTATACAGATACAGAAGTTCACAGGAAAATGGGAGATCCTTTATAAGACTAACGTGACAAATTTTAATAATAACCCTCGCGTACCATATCAAATTACCAAGTTGATATCCCATATCGACTTTGAAAAGGAAAGCGCAGAGACGTGGACACCATACATGTAGTGAAGGATCTTCTTGGCATCTTTCTCTTGTGTGCATTTTTATGCTTCGCTTTACATAAAAACACATATATTGCTACGGAATAATTGATGGAAGATGGTCCGTGCTAGTTTTCCACTCCATTTTTGTTTGACAAAATTTGGTTCTAGAAGTCAAGGGAACAAAAGGACTACAAAGACTGATGCCTGCACTACCACATAACTTGGTAAATGTCTAACGCTCTATTAGTGCTGGTTAAAAAAAAGTCGGCACCAAATAGGGGTTCTGCCCCCTCCCACCACGGATCCGTGCTTGAACTTGGCAGACGAAAACCGAATTGATGGTCCCAAATTAGTTCTGGTTTTGCAGACCAACCGGCACTGATGTGGCGTGAGTTATTAGTTTTTCTTTTTAGGGAATTGTGAGTTATTAGTGCCTCCCTTTTTTTTTAATAAACCGATATTGATCTAATTATGTACGTATATAATTGAGGCTTGGTCGGCATTGAGGCTAATCCATTGTTCTCCCTCCTCCTGCCAACTCTCCTGCGGTCAACGCCTGGCTGCCACACCACTCCATCCACCCACTCCCCCTCTGTTGGCCAGCCGAAGTGAAGACTTGATCCTACGCCGTGCTCACTTCTCCTCTACCTCACTGCTACCGCTTCATTGCACCCCTTCACTTTCTCCGCCACTAGCTCTAGCTCAGGGCCACTGGATCTGGCTCGCCGCCACCCTTTGTTATCCACTCGTTGTGTGGTGGGCTTACACTAGATTTGACAGAGTGGAGGAGGCACATTTCACTTGTATCTTGGTCCTTGGAGGCTACAAACTTCTGATTTTCATTCCTTGCATGCTTTTAAATCTGTTCTCTCATTTTTCTAGCTTTCGTTCTATTCTTCCTTCTCTGACTATGTTCTTATTCTCATTTGTGCAATTCCTTTCTAGGGGTTCAGGGATGAATATCGAGTTTTTGATCTGGATTTTGCTAAATCATGTATATGGACTTAGCAATGCCTTTTTTATTCAAGATTGTATGAATCAAGATTCATCTGTTGTTGATTCGAAGTATACTACTTAATGTGTACTATTCAATACTGTGAGACGTTCTACTTACGCTAAACGGCATACTACGCTCTATATTGTGGTTCTCATAATTATTTTTTGTATTTTAAATGCTAATATATTACTTTTTTATCACTATTGATTTAAAATTTTAAGGTTTGACTACACGTATTTTAGGACGACATTTTTGTTAAGAACTGATGTAGTATATGTGAAAATAATATTGTGAGAAATACAAGGGTCTACCATTTGGAATGGATGGACCGGTTGGCAAGATATCAAACTCATATTGTACCAAATGGATTTTCTCTCAAAGCATCCAGAATTGGTATGATGATTTGATACAACACATAAATGTAATGACACTTTCGTGCTGACCCACCAACGAATTGT